TTCAAACTAACCTGGAATAACAACAAAGTATCTGTTGACAAGAAGTACGTCGTTCCAGATCAGGTCAGCTTTGCACCACGTGAATCCCGCGTGACAACCAATAAGAAAGAGGTATTCTCGGTCTTCAAACGTTATCAAGAGAAACTCAATCTTGATGTAGAGGCGACAGGTGAGTGTAATTGACAGATTGTCAGCAAAGTGATTCAATATCATCTCATGTCTAATTATCTTTTGCTACTTGTTAATGATAAAATAATGTTTGATCGGTCATTGTATATATTTTTCAAAACATTTTCGCATTTTTCTTTTGCCCCTAGTTATTTTTTTGTTCCCAATTGCAATGTGGGTTTGATTAAATTACTCAAAATAACCTTGTAAATGTCACGGAAAACAGTTTTACCCTAGCGAATCGGCGTAATTCTTCCTGAGTGCAGCTGAAAAAAGCACGTTTTTGGATATGCACAAACCAAGCAAACTGCGTCAATCGCTTTTTCCCGATCGTGTGTAAAATGAAGCCATATATTTTCAAATCTGAGTTCAAAACTTAATCAAGCGGTAAACTCCAATCTTTTGCGAGAAACGTGCGAGTTGACAAACACTATAACAGTTTTATTATTTTTCTTTTCCTTTCTGCAGGTGGTTACGATGTAGCATCGTGGAATGTCGCCTTCACTATGAGTTCAAGTAAGAGAAACGATGTTGATATTAGATGAATTAACCATAGGTAACTGAAAGCTGAATGCTGTAAACAAATGAAAACTTGTGAGCATAGGTCAAAAATATTCACCTTTAAATGATTTTGGTTAATATATATGACACATGGTCAGCTCAGTTTAAGTGGCTTGAACAGTGGGTTGGGTGTCACCAAGATGAGGTGTTACATTCTCTGCTTTAACAGTGATAGGGGAAAAATAAAGTGAATGGACATTTTAAACTAAATCAAACTTGGTCTCTCAGTAGCAGATTGTGTCTTCTTGTTTTCTCGATGCTGTAGGGTTTGAGCAGACGAAAAAGGAAACTGAGAAATACCACAATGTATTTTATGAAGAGAGGAATGTGTGCAATCGAGGTCGTGCACGATATCAGCTGGACTTGGCTCCCATTGAGAAATTTCCAGTGTCAGATGACTTCGCAACTGCTGTATGTGTTTTACCGCAAAACTATGACGAGAAAGTTTACTTCAACTTCATTGAAAGATGGGGAACAGTGAGTATGCTAAAAAAGGTCTGCTTTATATGTCTAAGCGAATTCGCAAAAACATGCCAGCTAGGTTTTCGCCTGGATTCGGGCTTCGCCCGAATCCAGCTAAGCCAGCGACCTTAAACCCAGAGGGGGCTC